AATTGTGTGGGATTATAATCATAAATTGTACTAGTGGTATTGTATAATTTTTTTTTTATGTTGCACACCGGGTGAAGGATCAGTCGTGTAACATCGACGGTTCCGATAATAAAAACATCGCCCAGCTAAGCCGATAATTTACTTTAGCCGATTTTCTTCACTACCGACCAAAATCATTACTTTCTATTGTTCTATTTATTTATTGCTATATTAATATCTAAATATAATCTTGTTGACAATTTTTTGTTCTATTTACAAAATTTTTATTCTATCCTAAATTCTATTGCTTTATTCTTGTTCAATTTGGAGATGTACACCTCGCGAGATCACAAAATTCTCGCACCTTTGATCTAGCGTGACTTTCGCGAAATGATTTCATATTTCTCGCGAGATAAATTAATTGATTAATAATTTTAATGGTCGGTGAATTATTTTTTTATTTGCCATTTAAATTTTATTGTACTGGATTTTTGTCACGTCTCGCGAGAAATTGCGCGATGTGATCTCGTGTGTGACATTCGAAATATGTATTAGGCTCACCTCACGAGATGTACATCTCTAGCTATATTGTTCTATTCATTTATTGCTGCCAACACTGATCTGATTAGTGTATCTTCATGGTAGATACTAAATTACCTGGATTAAACGATCTTCTTATCATCAATGGAATTCTTCACTAATATTACTTCTTTGTTCATTGCTCATATATTATTATTAGTGTTTTTTATAGCATTCTATGCACCAAATATTTTACAAACATTATTTATTCTGATAAGATGGCCAATTAATTTTTACTTTGTTAAAGCGTGCATATTTATACTAATTTTATCCTTAACAAGGAATCTATCTTATTATACTGATGAAGATACTGAAAAGGATAAAGTGGCCTATAAACATTTTCTGCCTACATCAACAGCAATAACACAGTATCTTCTGCGCAACATGCTTGATAGAATTGAGGATAAAGTCAAAAGAAAGGAGAAGGAACAAAAAGAGCAGATGGAGGTAAAGGATGACGAAGAACAAAAAGAGCAGATGGAGGTGAAGGATGATGAAAATCAAATTAGTGACAATGTTTGATTTAAAGCTGATGTTTTTATTATTAAATATAGGTAATATTATCATTTTTAATATATTATATTTTATGAAATAAATTGAAAAACTTATTAATAATATTAAATCTAATAAATGTTATTTTAACTTATACTTTTAGGATTATATATACTATAATATTAAGTCTTAAAAATAAATTTATTATATATTATGCAAATTATATTTTGTCTATTAAGTAAAAATGTTTTTATATATTTTATATATAAAATATTTTTTTTAAAATTTAAAAAAAATTATTACTTAATTCTAATTTAACCTTAATAAAAAGAATTACTTTATTAGTAAAATGACTATTAGTAAAATAACTGTTAATGAAATAAACTTGTTAGTGAATTAACTATTAGTAAAATAAGTATTACTTATATAGAACATAGATTCAAGTTGGTCTGGTCTTACTATATTATAATTATAAAGAATATTACACTATTGCTAATCTATATGGGCAGCCGTCAATAGAAATAAGGAAAATTGACATTTTAAAAAAAATTAATATCTTAACTTTCACAGCTTATATTTCGATAGTTTGAGATTATCTTAATGATTTAATATTCAAAATAAAGCTTATATTGTAAGCTTTCTTTTGACTATTAAATCATTAAGATAGCTTCAAAATCCATTGAGATATAAGCCATGAAAGTTAAGGTATTGATTATTTTAAAATATCAGTTTATCGACGGCTGCTCATATATTAAATTCTAATTTTAAATATAGGTTTGTTATAATTTTTTTACTATCACTGTATATCCATAATAGACAGTGTTGTTGCTTGGAAGGTTACTGAAAGCCCACTGAAAGTAAATCAATAATAAACTAGAGCTTAAAGTTTCAGTAACATTATTGATTTACTTTCAGTGCCTTCCAGTAATCGTCCAAGTAACAACACTGATGACAGACATGAAAGATGTAAATCAAATTTCTGAATAATTTATTTATACACTTTAAAGCACATTTTGAGAATATAACTTTCACTAATAAAGATTTCTCATAAAACTATTACTAGCTTTCATCAAACGTTAATATTATGGACTATATAAAATAATCTTAAGTAATTTTTAAAACCGAAAACACTACTATGCAAGCTCTAATTGCTAGAAATAATTAACAAAAAAATTGAGATTTACATGTAAGATTAAAATTGAAGACTTTGTGTATGCTATGATTATAATAATCGCTTTATATTGTTGTGCGGTAAATCGGCGAGTCTGTCGCTAATTCCTTCCAATCATCGCGTAACCTACGGCGGCTAAGCCGAAATAGGCGTGTTAGATTTGGCTGGGTGGTTTATCCGTAGGTAAGTACTATTCTTCTAAGTCTTTCATTCAACCTATTCTTCTATTA